GGTGCCGAGCGTGCTGCGCATGCGCATCTTCGTTCCCGCGGACCTCGTCGGCAGCTCGCTCGTCGAGCGCGTCTCGCCCTTCGATGGCGACTTCTTCGTCGTCGACTCGTCCGCCTACTCCGCGGTCCTGCTTGGGGCAGGAATTCATGTTGGTGCGTACGGAGCTGGGGGTGCGCAAGGTCAAGCGCCCTCCTACACTACCAGCATGGCCCCAGGCGTGTGGAGCCCGATCGGGCCCCGCGGCGGTCAGCTACCTGCTGCCTCCCCGCCCGCCGCCGCGCACCTGGCGTGAGCACATCAAAAAAAAAAGTTCCACAAGAAGCGAATGCACTGGAAGAAGCGCGGCAAGACTGGCATGAGCACCGAGGGCACTCTCCTGCAGGCCACGGCTCGGGGCTCCCGGAAGGTCAGCATGACGACGGAGCCTGTTCCCACTCCGCCGCCACCTGGGATCTCGAGCTGCCGAAGGGCCCCGCACGCGGAGAAGTTCGCAGCGGCGCGGACTGCGCCACCGGGTCCGAGCAGGGCTCCGACGCCCCCCGCCACCTCCAGCGGTGACGAGGCGCTGCCCCACTCCGCCGAGGCCGTGGGGAAGGTGCCCGGGGCCGCCTCGTCCTCCTCCGCCACAGGAGGCACCACGCACCTGTGCATCGGCGGCGGCGAACGGAAGGCAGACCTGAAGGCCAAGAAGCGGGAGAAGCGCCTCGGCAAGGAGGCGAAGAAGCAGGAGCGTAGCAGGAAGGAAGGAGAAATACGGGGAGGAACGGGAGATCTGCGACATCGAGCGATCCCTGAGGGCGTCGGCGCGTGCTGACGAAGGCAGGGTTGGCGACATCTTTGAGCAAGAAGACGGTGATGATGCTGAATGCGGTGGCGGAGCCGCAAGAGTATGTATGCAGCACCAGACTGTTTGCACCCGCATCTGGAGAAATACGCGGTGGTGCGGCAGAACGTTTCCGTGGTGATGATCTTTCGGGCCCTGCTCACGAAGGCGCTGGGCTTTCCAGCGATGGGCGTGGCTGGCGACCAAGCTGCACGACATGGTGGAGGCGATGCTAGGCATGACGAGGTGGCAATGCTTGGTCTGAATCTCGGCCTGGACGGTTCGATCATGGCCGAGTTTACCAGCCTGGAACATATCCCTATCCCTATGCTGGGCACCTCCTCATCACGAGGCCAATCTTAGGGATTCCCCTATTTTTTGAGGGCGAGTCCCTAAGATTGTCATCGCCTTTTGGCGTGTCAATCTTAGGGATAGGGATACCCTCGAGGCTGGTAACGAGTGGATTGAGATGCTGGCAGACGGCAGGATCGACGAGCGCCGGCTCCAGGAGCGCGCGCTGTCGGCCCCGAAGGCTGCGACCCTCGACAGCAGAGCCCAGAACGCCATTGGCAAGGCCGGATTTCCAAGTACAGCCTAGAGGCTTAGCACAAGGGCTTCGTCACACCATGGGCTCCCAGGAGTCCCTCATCTGAGGCACCGGGCCTCCCTCTCAATCCTCGCCTACGAGAGCTTGATTGGGAGTCGTCTACAGCAACAAAAAAAACTCCCTCCCTCCCTCCCTCCCTCCCTCGACCCCTCCTCCCTCCCTCCCTCCCTCCCTCGACCCCCCCCCCCTCCCTCCCTCCCTCCCTCCCTCGACCCTCCCTCGACCCTCCCTCCCTCCCTCCCTCCCTCCCTCCCTCGACCCTCCCCCCCGAAGACTGCACTCCAGACTCCGCACGGACTGCTCCGCTTCCCCCCGCGGGCCCCGGAGGCCTCTGCTCGCCTCACTGGGGGCACACAGCACACCTCGCCCCAGAAAGTCGCAATCCTGAGGGTCCCCTCTGGGCCCGGACACGGCCGCGCGGGGGCCCAGAACTAAGCAGAAACCGCTCCTCCACCTCCTCCTCCTCCCTCCTCCTCCTCTCCTCCTCCTCCTCCTCTCCTCCTCCTCCTCCTCCTCTCCTCCTCCTCCTCCTCCTCCTCCTCCTCCTCCTCCCCCTCCTCCTCCTCCTCCTCCTCCTCCTCCTCGGGCCGAGGAGATCCCTCCGCCCGAAGACCGGGCCGGCGGGCGCCTCCCGCGGAGGAAAATCGCGCGGCTCCGACAGTGCGCCTCACGGGCGCCGCGCGCCGCCCTCGGCACCGCCGCGGCGCCCCGGCCGCGCCGCGGGGACCAGGCGGACGCGCTGCATGTCCTCCAGGGGCATCATTCGGGTCGGGCGAAAGGGGGGGATAGCAAAGGGGGGGTATAGCAGAGGGGGGGTACAGCAAAGGGGAGGTATAGCAAAAAGGGGGGGATAGCAAAAGGGGGGGGATAGCAAAGGGGGGAGGGGGGGGGGGAGAATCAGCTCACGCAGCTGCTCTTCGGGTCGGGCGAAAGGGGGCTTGTGAAGACGCGCGGTGCTCGAAGGCGCGGTGCTGGCGCGCGGAGAGTGGGCCCCTCCCGGGCGCCTCGCGCTGGGCCCCCCGGGGCCCCCCTTGGGCGCCATCGTGGCCACGCCTGGCTCCGGCTCCTCCCCGGGGCGCCCCCGTCGGAGCACGGGGCCCCATCCTCGTCGGGGGGACAGCACAGGGGGGGGCTTTGAGAAGCAGTTCGCGTGGCTGTTTTTTTTCCCGGCGCCTCCCGGCGCCGGAGGCGGCCAATGTTTCGAGGAGTGGGCCCCTCGGCGGGGCCGCCGCCAGCTGCCTGCGGCAGACTTCGTGAGCCCCCTTTCCCAATCCCCCCCCTTCGTCCGGCCCGAATCATGGGACGCGCGGAGACCTACTGGTACGGTGTGTTCTTCTCGGCGGCGCGCGTCCGACGCGAACATGTGGTGTTCCGACATTGTGGTATCCCGCTTCCCGAGCGGTGTGGCCAGAAAGCGCCCGCCACGACGCATGTGCTTGAAGATTTCTCGGTGCCCGCGTCGCCCCTGGGGGGGGGGGGCGACGCACACACAGTATCAGTATGTTGGGGTGACGCCGATGCTACTGCTCCACCCCACCTTGCGTATGGGCAGGGCGGGCTGAGCGTTCCGCCGGAGGCATCCTCGCCACGCTCGATTCCGAAGCCCGAGCGGTCCAGCAGCTGCCGGGATGGCCGGCGAACCGTGTTCAAAGTTTGGCTCTCGCCGTGGCGCCGAGCATAGTCTCCCTGAGAGCTCCCAACGATTACAGGGACAGAAGGCGGGTGTTTTTTTGTGAATGTGGCTCTGTTTCGGGCAATCCTTCTATCCATATCCAGTGCGTCTTGGACTTTCTTGAAGGGGCGCCGCAAGGCCGAGGCGCACTGGATATGGATCAAATCTAGCCTTTTGGAGCCAGATTTTAATATACATCCAGTTTTGGGGGAAGAGAGCCCGAAACTCCACGACGCACTGGATGTGGACGTAGACATTGCCCGCATCTGACCTTAATCTCACACAGAATCGTTGTTCAAAGATTTCCGCAGCCATGTTTGCCAGCGGGGACCCCAAACAGTGCGGTTGTGCATTCTACACGTGAAAGCTGTGAGTTGGAAGCTATGTGGTGCACTGTATCTGGTACAAGCTACGCGACGCGTGGTGCCAGCTTTGATGCAAGCTACGTGGTGGAAGTTCTGCGATACATGCTATGTGGAAGGTTTGTCGTGTAAGCTATGCGATCGAAGCTTTGTGATGCAAGCTGTGTAGTGCAATGTACTGTGTGTAAGCCAATGTGTGCAAGCCATGCGGTGTGAGCTATCTCGCTCAACCTAATCCCACCAGCCCTTTGGGCGTGAGTGGTTTAGAGAACCCGCTCTGTTCTCAACCCCCCTTCTTCCCCTTCGGGGAGGGGTTTACCCCTCCCCCTACCCCCTCCCCCTGGGCCTGGAGAGGGGGTTTCGCCGGTCGTTGGAGGGGTCTTTTCCGACTCCTGGGAGGCCTAAAAAACGAAGACCCTCACGAGGATTCTGGCCCCGACGGGGGGGCGGAGATAGGCCCCTCCCCTCTTCTTTGAAGCCAAAATCCTTGATTTTACTACGGTTTTGGTCCCATTTTGGCCTCCTGAGGGGGCCGCGCTCATCTTCCTTCATAGCAAAATCATTGATTTTACTAAGGTTTTGGGCTCATTTTGTCCTTCTCAGGGGGCAGCCCTCATTTGCGCTTCTGAGGAGGTCGCAAGAGGCCCCAAGATGGCCCCAAGAGGCCCCCAGGAGGCTCCCAAGAGGCCTCCAAGAGGCCCCCCAGAGGCCCCCAAGCGGCCCCAAGAGGCCCCCAAGAGGCCCCCAAGAGGCCCCCCCAAGAGGCCCCCAGAGGCCCCTAAGAGGCCCCCAAGAGGCCCCAAGAGGCTCCAAGAGGCCCCCAAGAGGCCCCACGAGGAGCCCGAACGACTCACACCAGGACGAGGGGCCCGAACGACTCACACCACGAAGAGCCCGAACGACTCACACCACAAAGAGGATAGACAAGGAGGCGGGAGGAAGGAGGAACAGGGGAGATATGCAGAGCCCAGCGGACACACGCCTGAAAAACACAACTGTCGACATGCTTCGCGAGAGTTGTTGCTGTGAGATGGGCTGGTGGGGATACGCGAAGCGTAAAGAATTATAAACTTAACCATGAGGCGCAGGCTACGTGGTGCAGTCTACATTGTGGAAGCTGTGTGGTGAAAGCTAAGGGGTGCAAGCCATGTGCTGAAAGCTACGAGGTGGAAGCCGCGCAGGGACTCTCAGCCAACACGTGGCGCCCACCAGGCGGCCGCCGGCGCCCACAGGGCGAATACCCAGGAATCCCGGCCCGTGCCGCACTGGGAGGAAGCGGGGGATACGGCACTGCCAAGGAAGCGTCGCGCTGTGCACGAGCGCCCACCAAGGGGGCCAAGCTGCTGGCAGCCTGGCCGGCCTGTGAAGAGGCTGGGACCCCACCAAGAGGATCTCGGAGGCGGAGGAGGAGGAGGAGGCGGAGACGGAGGAGACTCACTCCCTGCTCATCCTTCCCCACTCCCCTCAGCCCCGCCTCGCGGCAGACGCTCCGCAGGTCCTCCGGGAACCTCCGCGAGGCGACCGCGCCCCAGCGCTTCACCACCCGGGACACGGTCGCCCCGCTGCCGTCGGGCAGCTGGACGCGGCACCACTGCCTGTCGGGCAGGCCTGCGGCACAAGACTCGCCCACTGCGATTTCTGAAGCATGCTGTACAGCCCCCGGACCGTGGAGCGGGCCCCCGACGCCGAAGGAGCAACAACAACAACAACAACAACAACAACAACAACAACAACAACAACCACGACGACGACGACGACGACGACGACGACAACAACAACAGCAACAGCAACAGCAACAGCAACAGCAACAGCAACAACAACAACAACAACAACAATCACTTTACCCGAACGCTCAGTGTTCTCACCAGTGCCAGGGTTTTCATGCGACGCCAGCCAATACCCCCACTTTGTGGGGGGGCAGTGCAAGCTCTACCAAATATCCACACGACTCTTCGCCACCACCCACACCCAGCTTCCCGCCCTATGACGTTCGGACACTTCACTTCGTGGCCTGCGGACGACCGTGGCTACTACACTGGCGTGGAGTACACACCCACAGAAGTTGTTAAGCCTACGTTCGTACACCCACAGAAGTTGTTAAGCCTTGTTAACCCACAGAAGTTGTTAAGCCTTCCACAGAACATCTGTTGCATATGATGCATATGGTACATGATACACATGATACACATGATACGTACTCACAAGATAGTTGATCACATCTTTAGGGCAAATTCCTGAGGGATGTGGGAATACACAAGAGAGAGAGGATATGGTTGTCCCGATGGTTGTCTCGATGGTTGTCCCGATGGTTGTCCTGATGGTTGTGGTTGTCCCGATCGTTGTCCCGATGATTGTCCCGATGGTTGTCCTGATGGTTGTGCTTGTCCCGATCGTTGTCCCGATGACTGTCCCGATGATTGTCCCGATGGTTGTCCCGATGGTTGTTCCGATGGTTGTCCCGATGGTTGTCCCGATGGTTATGAGCGATGCGATTCGTGTGATTTTATGATGCGCGGTGCTAAAATTCTTAAGAAGCCCAATGGTTTTTGGAGATTTCGGCGTGCGCGCGCGAAGAAAAAACGAATGTGTCCCGCATGGTATTATTTGACAGGGATGATGGCCCTGGCAGGTGCGCAACCGTTGTCGCAGAAGTTCGAAAAAGTTGCTCGCAAAAGCCCGTTTGACAGAAATGTTTAAAAAGTGTTGGGTTTCCTACGAATCCGCAAGAGCGCGCGGGATGAGATTTTGACAATTTTTTGTTGAAAAACCATTGGTTTTTTGATGTTTTTATGTTAAAATCGCTGCGAACACTAAGGTTTTGGAAGGATTTCGTCTTGCGCGCGCGAATGTCCACTTTACCTTATTTTTTGCAAGGGATTCTTGAAATTTGATTATATTAGAACAAGAAATGTCATTTTCTATTGTTTTTTGCAAGGGAAAGCGGATTACAACAAAACAACCGGATCCTGTACACACCCTCTTTTCTGAGGCTTCCTCACGAAAATGATGAAAATGTAGCTGCGGCCTAGGCGGCGCAGGGGGGGCGCGCACCAGGGGGCCCAACAATAATTATTCTTTAGAATAAATAATGTTCAACAACAACAACAACAACCACGACGACGACAACAACAGCAGCAACAACAACAACAACCACAACAACAACAACAACAACAACAACAACAACAACGACAATAACAACAATAGTAACAACAATAATAATACTAGTAATATAAATACCAACAATCTGCTCACGTGCCAATCAATACGTATATCCCCAACCCTCGGTACCCGCCCTCGTCGTCTTCTATCGTACCCCTTTGGGGGTATATCTTCCTTACCTGCCACGTGCATTTAGTGCAGCCCCAAAAAAAAGGGAAGCGTTGACGGGTGGAAGGGGGAGGGAGAAGAATGGAGCACGAGAGAAATTAGCAGGAGGGGGGCAAGGAGCAGGAAACAAGTGGTAGAGCCAGACGGGCAGATTGGGTGGGCAGACCTATGGCGGGCAGGTCGACCTGGGCCCGCCTTCCCGACCTAGGTCAGGAAGGCTGGCCCAGGTGACGAGGTAGAACAGGCGGGTTGCTGAAGCATGGGTCCCGCATGAATCGCGAGGATATCTCGAGCGATATCGCGATTCCCAAGTAAATCGTGAGAAAAGCCAAAGCGAGAGCGTGATTCCTGAGCGCCGAGGGCGCATCGTCTGAATAAATTGCGAGGGAGTCCCACGCGAGAGCGCGATGCGTACATGAATTGTGAGGAACTCCCGCCCACAAGCGCAATTTGGGAATAGATTGTGAGGAAATATCAGGCGGGAACCGCTGTTGTTGTAAACCAGGGGCCAGGGGCCCAGTTTGAGCCTAGTGACCTTCCCTGGTTGTTTATATATATGTATATTTTGTTAACAAAAAATGCGAGCTCAGGGGGAAGCACTTCAATTGCAAAAATACAGTGGCCACCGGAGGGGGGGGAATCAACAATAATTATTCTTCACCAAGGAGGCTCAACAACAACAGCAACAGCAACGACAACCGGCTTAATACTGGTTGCGCTTCGTTGCCCGCGCGTCGCCCAGCCTGTACACACAAAACCCTCGACGCCCGCCCTCTTCGTTCACGAACGCGCCCCCTCTTGGGGGGGGAGCTCCTGTGTGAAGGGGCCCTGGGAACACACCACTAAGTACACACACACACACACAAATGACAGGATTCCCCATATTTTCCAATATTTTCTCGGTGTTTGTCTCCCCCCCCACTTCCCATCGTGAAGGGGCCCTGGGAAACACAACTAAATGCACACACACACACACAAATGACAGGATTCCCCATATTTCCCCATATGTTCTGGGTTGTGGTCTCCCCCCCACCTCCTCCTCCTCCTCCTCCTCCTCCTCCTCCTCCTCCTCCTCCTCCTCTCCTCTCCCCTCCTCCTCCTCCTCCGCCTCCTCCTCCTCCTCTCCCTCCTCCTCCTCCTCCTCCTCCTCCTCCTCCTCCTCCTCCTCCTCCTCCTCCTCCTCCTCCTCCTCCTCTCCTCCTCCTCCTCCTCCTCCTCCTCCCTCCTCCTCCTCCTCCTCTCCTCCTCCTCCTCCTCCCTCCTCCGCCTCCTCCTCTCCTCCTCCTCCTCCTCCTCCTCCTCCTCCTCCTCCTCCTCCTCCATCCTCCTCCTCCTACTCCTCCTCCTCCCCTACGTTCCCCTACTCTCTGGGGCCCGCCCGAGCCTGATGAAGTACGCCTGCGGCCGCCGCGGCGACACGCTGCGCGACGAGCTGCCGCTGCCCGCGGGCTCCGGGGCGCCCCCCGAGTCGACCGTCCCTTGGCTGCTCCAGAAGACGAAAGAACGCCATAAACATATACCCATCGGTCGGAAGAAGTAGGTAGAAACATGAAGTAGGAAGGCGTTGGAAGTAGATCGGGTGTCCGCCCACCCTCAAAAGAGGAGGGAATAGGTGAAGCCACTCGATCATTGAAGTAGGAAGGCGCTTCAAGCAAATTGGAATCTGGGAATCCAAAAATACCTACTTTCAACGACCGGTGGGTAAATGTTTGGCGCCCCGCGCGGATCCCTTGGATCCGCGCTGGGACCCCCCTCGCGCGCCGGGGGCGGCGCAGGAGGCGCCGCCGGGGGGGCCCCAGCGCGGATGCAAGAGACCCGCGCGGGGCGCCAAAAGTTTATGTTCATGGCGCTTCTTCTCCTTCTTCAGATGCTCGCGGCGCTGCCGATGGCGTCGCTGTCGGCCCCGGCGTCCGCGGTGCGGGCGGAGGTCTGCGCCGAGGCGTCACCGCCGGGCCCAGAGTCCGCGGTGCGCGGGGAAGCCTTTGCCCGGGCGCCGCCGCTGCCGGGCGCGGAGTCCGCGGTGCGGGGGGGCGCCTGTCGGAGGTCTGCTGGCCCGGGTCAGTCCAGACCCGGGTCAGGCAGGCTGAGAGGGTCCTGCAAGATAGCCTGCAGGATCCTGCGCGCTGACCCGGGTCAAGGCGCCCCTGGCTCTGCAGTGCCTGCAAGATCCGGCACTCTGACTGCTCCCGACAAGGATCACAGCGATGACAACGATAACAACGATAACGAACACGATGACGATAACAGCGATCACGTCGATCACAACGAGAGCGATCACAACGGTCACAGCGGTAACGATATCGCCATCGTTGTTACCGTTGCTATCGTTGTCATCGTTGTTCTCGGTGCTACCGTTGTGATCCTTCTCTTACCAGCCTCGAATTTATCCCGATCCCTAAGATCGACACGCCAAAAAGCAATGACAATCTTAGGGATGCGCCCTCAAAAGATAAGGACATCCATAAGATTGGCATCGTGATGAGGAGATGCCCAGCATAGGGATAGGGATATGTTCCAGGCTGGTAATTCTCTTTGTTATCGCTGTTTGCACTGACCCCCGTCCCTTGCGCCCCGAGGCCTTCGCCCCGGCGCCGCCGCCGAGCCGGCAGCGCGTGGTGCGGGGGGGGGCCTTCGCCCAGGCGAAGGGAAGGCTGCCTTCCCAGCGGAGGCATCCTGCAGACGGGCAACGGTAGGAAAGGAGCCGGCAAGGGGGGGGATGCGCGTCGACCTGGAGTCGACAACACGTCGACGATAGATCGGCCATAGGCCTCCGACAGTGAATCCGCACCCTCCTGGGCAGGTTGGGGCTATCGAGCCCCTACCGACGATCCATGGGCGATTGGGAGTCGCTGCATCCCCCCCTATGCCAGTCCCCGAAGGCATCCTGTCGAGTGCCGACGACGACGACGCCGCCGCCGCCGGCGACGCCGCCGCCGCCGCACACGACGACGACGACGACGACGACGACCACCACCACCACCGCCACCACCACCACCGCCACCACCGCCACCACCGCCACCACCACCACCACCACCATCCGGCCTCCGCGGGCCCAGCTCTTGAGCCAGGGCTCTTGGTGTGCTGTCGGGGGGCCAGTCATCGGGGATGCGCACGGGAGGCTCGTGTCGTGACGACCGTGGCGCTGGTTGCTGACAATACGTGGATCTTTCGACCTTGAACGATCGGAGGCTTTAGAATTAATCATGTTGTTCCCATCGTCCTTAAGGACCACATCCCAGAAATGATTTCGAGCACCCCGGAAAGCATCGAAACAGTGTCTGCTCGACACGCTGGCGAGGTGCCGCACGAATACTGCCTCCCAGGGCCCGACACGTGAAAACCGTCTGGTGTCGAAAATTACGTTTCTGGTGCTCGAAATCCTGTCTGGCCGCCTTCTGAAAAGGTCTTCGCCTTCTCGCTTCCCCCCCTCGCTCTTTGGACGCCCGAAATGGGTACTGAAAAAATGGGTACAATGCCCAACAACAAATGTTGTCCCAAACCGACAGCGGCCGCTGTTGGGCAGGCGGCCTTCTGTCTCGAATGGACACAGGCCGCGGCTGCGCGGACAGCGAGTCCTGTTCAAAAAGAACAGGAACTGCTGTTGGGCATTGTACCCATTCTTTCTGTACCCATTTCGTGCGTACAGACGCTCGCCGCCGCCGCCTACCGTGAAAACATGCGACGCCCGGCGCTCATTGACATAAGGGAGACGGGTCCCTGGACCCTGGGGGTCCCCCCCAGGGCCCAGCTCTTCATCCCGCTTTGATTTTTTGGGGCGGCCCGAAGACCTGGCAAGAGGGCCCATGGGAGGCTGGAAACTACCAAAGACCGTCCGTCACTACTACTTCTGCCGCGGCGCGAAGATGCCAGGGGCAGGACGCAGACGCCTGGTGTGCAAAACTGCGAAGCCCATGCAAGTCTCAAGGCCGCCCCCACAAACCCCCGACGTCATGATTGTTCAACAGCGTCGACCCCAAGAGGTCTCTTCTGACACCTCCCCCAGGATCGGCTTCTTCATCCCGAACCGTTTTCTAACGGCCTGGCAGCCCTGGCAAGGGCCGCTGGAGGCCAAAAATGGAAAATGTGCAAGAGTTTCAAGCATTGAGGGCGAGTTGTTTTCGAAATGTGGCTCTCGCCTGAGCGCGGCGAACATTCGTTTTAAAAGTTTGCAGGAATTTCACGGATTGAGGGCGGGTGGTTTTCGAAATGTGGCTCTCGCCGTAGCGCGGCGCACATTTGTTTTCAAAATTTGCAAGGGTTTCACGGATTGAGGGCGGGTGGTTTTCGAAATGTGGCTCTCGCCTCAGCGCGGCGCACATTTGTTCTAAAAACTCACAAGAGATTTACGGATTGAGGGAAGATGGTTTTCAAAATGTGGCTCTCGATTTCGCGCGGCGCACATTCGTTTTAAAAATTCGCAAGAGTTTTACGGATTGAGGGCGGGTGGTTTTGAAAATGTGGTTCTCGCCTCAGCGCCGCGCACATTCGTTTACAAAATTCTCAAAAGTTTCACGGTTCCCCATCATCAACGAACCAGAAATGATGTTTTCGAAGAATTCAGGAGCACGCGGGCGCAACACTTACGTTGATTCTCTGTGCTGAAGTCCTAGGAATGGCGTTCCGGCAAGATTCGGGATCGTCAAGACGCAACAATCAGGTTGATCTGTGGCGTTGGAATCCCGAGAACAATGTTTTGGCATGCTTCAGGGCCTTCAAACAGGTGTCTTCCAACGAGGCAGTTCCATCAATGGAAATGACCGTTGTAGGGGCCTATGAAGAGGGAGCTTGGAGGGAGGGTTTACTCCAACATCGTTGATGAGTCTTGGGTTCACACTGGTCCTCCTCCTCCTCCTCCTCCTCCTCCTCCTCCTCCTCCTCCTCCTCCTCCTCCTCCTCCTCCTCCTCCTCCGCCTCCGGACGGGCCGCCCGCTTCGTGCGCCCCGCCAGCCTCAGCAGCGAGCCCGAGTCGGGGATGTACTGACCCAGGTCAATCCGAACCCGGACCTGTCGGGCTTTGCGGGATCCTGCAGGATCCTGCGCCTCAACCTGGGTCGGTGCAGCCCAGGCTCTGCAGGATCCTGAAAGCTCTGGCGTCCTGGCGGACCCCCGTTTGAGCAGGCACCGACCGTCCCGGCATTCCTATAGGCCTACCACGACATGATCCTGGAACCCCAAGATGTTCAAATTACAAAAACAATGTTCTTATAACAAAGACCCGATGTGTCAAAACAAGACAGTCCCAGCCAAAAACGTCCTAAGAACCTTTCGTACAGACCGCAAAAGGTTCTTGGGACATTCCTTAGTGGGCCTATAGGCACGCGAGGACGCTTCGCCACTGCTTCGCCCGCTTCGTGCGCCCCGCCGGCGTCCGTCGGCAGCGAGCCCGAGCCCGGCAGCCACGGCACCCGCCTCCTCCAGGGCGTCCGCCCAGCCGAAGGCCTCCGCGGCGGCCACCTCGAGCGCGGCGCCGACGGCCTCGGGCCCGCCGTGGGTGAAGCGCTCCTGGCGAGGAACAGAGGGGCAGTCACCATGCACCATCCTCCATCCTCCCTCCACCATGCTCAACCGTCCCTCCTCCTTCCTCCCTCCCCCCTCCTCCTCCCACCTCCTCCCTGCTCCCTCCACCCTCCTCCTCCTCCTCCTCCTCCTCCTCCTCCTCCTCCTCCTCCTCCTCCTCCTCCTCCTCCTCCTCCTGCTCCTCCGCCTCCTCCTTCTGCTCCTCCTCCTCCTCCTCCTCCTTCTCCTCCTCCTCGTCCATTCCTTATAAGTAACCCATCCCTGTCGCTCCCCGAAACATGTCGGTGGGGCGGGCGGGCGTTTCGCCTGATACTTCCTCAGCAATTACGACCCTGAAGCTGCGAATGTGCAACAGTCTCACAGATGGAGGGCGGGTCATCTTCAAAATGTGACTCTTGCCTGAGCGCCGCACAGTCTTTCAAAAGTTTGCAAGAGCTTCACGGATGGTGGGCGGGTCATGTTCAAAATGTGACTCTTGCCTGAGCGCCGCACAAAGTCTCTCCAAAGTTTGCAAGAACTTCACGGATGGAGGGCGGGTCATTTTCGCAATGTGACTCTCGCCTAAGAGCCGCGCACACTCGTGTCAAGAGAATTGCACCAGATTTCAAGAGCTTCGCGGATGGAGGGCATGCCGCTTTCAAAATGCACCGCGCACATTCTTCGTGAAAGTTTGCAAGAGCTTCACGGATGGATGACGGCTCCGTTTCAAAATGTGACTCTCGTTTCAGCGCTGCGCACATTGGTCGTCAGAGTTCACAGCAATTTCAAGGATTCTGATGGTTGAAGTCTTAGAAATTGTGGTTCGGCACGATGTGAGACCGCCAGGGCGCAACAGTCATGTAGTCATGTTGATTCGCGGTGTTGCAGTCCGAGGAACGGTGTTCTGGCACGATTCAAGATCGTCAGGACGCGGCAGTAACGTTGCTTCACGGCGTTGTAGTCACAGGAATGGTGTTTCGGTACGGTTCAGGATTTTCAGACGGTTGTTTCCAACGGAGTACATCCCTAAGTGAAAATACATCCTTGTAGGGACCTCTAAGGAGGGAACTTAGAGGGAGGGTGAATTGCAACATCGTTGGTGAGTCTTGGGTTTACAGTGGCCCTCCTCACCTTCCTCATCCTCTTCCTCTTCCTCCTCCTCCTCCTCATCCTCTCCTTCACCTCCTCTTCCTCCTTCCTTCCTCCTCCCTCCTCCTCATCCTCCTCCTCTCCTCCTCCTCCTCCTCCTCCTCCTCCTCCTCCTCCTCCTCCTCCTCCTCCTCCTTTTTCCTTTTCTCCTCCTCTCCCTCCCTCCTCCTCCTCCTCCTCCTCATATTCCACGATGCCTCCTCCTCCTCCTCCTCCTCCTCCTCATCCTCCTCCTGCTCCTTGCTCCTCCTCCTCGTCCTCGGTCCTCCTCCTCCTCCTCCTTCCCCTCCTCCTCCTCCGACTCCACCTCCTCCTCCTCCTCTTCCTCCTCCTCCTCCTCCTCCTCCTCCTTCTCCGGCGCAGAGTGGAGAGCCCTGAGATCTGGGCGTTGCACGTCGTTCCACTCCTGGCGTTTTCGCCCGCTTTCGGGCCCCAGGACCATCGCAGATCGATCCAGCTCGACGATGCCGCAGGTCGCCCCTTTCGCAGCGCCGGATCTCAGAGTGCACCGAACATGGCCTGGACCATCCTGGGCCCGGCCAGGATCGGTGCATGTGCACAGTTGTCCTCGCCCCAGCTCCCTGGCCCGGCAGCACACCGGCGTGTCCCTCTGTCGGCCCCTGAGGGTGGTGGAGCTAACTTTAGGTCGGGCGTGTCCTCCTAAAGGACGCTTTGGGACGATAAATAACACATAGTCGAAAATATCCCAAAAATGATCAAAAATACTCCAAAAATCATCCCCTGACTTTTTTTACTAATTTTGAATATTCCTCCTGTAGAGGGACACGCCCGATGTAAGGCTGACTGTCGAGGCCACCCAGATGGCGGCCTGGGAGCAGATGGGGCCGGAGGATCGCGCCGCATCGCCGATATAGCTCCCCGATGCATCGCCGACAAATCGGCGACGCGCCGACGATGCATGGCCGCCGGCGTGGAGAGCCTCGGGCCCCCTCGTCGAGCCGCCTCTCGCCGTGCGGCTCGAGGTCAGCCGACCCCATCCACTCGGACGGCAGCTCCTTCCGGGGGAGGCCCGGGGCGGGGGGGGGGCGCCAGCGCCCCCCGACACCCTTGAGGTCTACAGGGCAGATTTTGTTTTTAATACATGCGATTTGATAAAGTATAAGATTGTTAATACATGGTTTATGCATGAATAAATTTACGCATGAACTCATCGCTGTTGATACTAAATCCCTGCATTTCTAATACATGATCCGCACGCGGAGCATGTATTAAAAACGGCACTGTGGGCGTCGCACTCCCAGATCACCAACAAAATCCAAGATGTTCCATCGGGGCGTTTGCCCTCGGGGGCGGCCAAGAGGGGGGCGTCCAAGAGGGGGGGCGCAGATCATGGCCGACGGCAGGCGCGCGGCCCATGGGGGGGGGGCAGGGAGGTAAGGAATTAAGAAGAGGCGGCATGAAAGCCGGGGAGATATCATGGTCCCCGCCATGATATCACCCCCCCCCTAGTCATCACCCTCCTCTTGGCCGCCCCCGATTCCCTTGGGACCAACATCGGGCCCTGGGACCACCAAAAATGAACTTGGGACGCACTACCCCCAGGGAATGAGTTGGCAGCTTCGAGTGAGGAGACCAAGATGTACCCATAGTGCGTTAATTCAGGCGGAATCCAACGGTTGCGACGAGGGTCTCACAGGAGGCCAAAAGAGGAAAGCGGCCGAAGGGTAGCGGTATGGGCACCTCTTCCTCATCGGAAGGTCTACCCCCAAGCGAAGGGGTCGGCAGCTCTGAGACCGCGGCTAGAAAAAAAAACAGGTTGGAGGATGTCTAGGACCTTCTCGCACGGGGCGTCTTCGCCAGGGTATTCGGGCTCTGGGGGCCCTCGCGAAGCAATCTGGCTCGAGAAAGCTTCGCAGATAACCAGCCTCGAACTGATCCCCACCCCTAAGATGGACAAGCCCAGGCGACGACTCTCTCTATCCCTCTCCCTGCCCCTGCCCCTGAGGCGACGACGATGTCAGGGGTGCGTCCTCAGAAGCTGGGGCAGCCCTTACGATCGGCATCGAGATAGGGTGGTGCGCAGCATAGGGAGATGGATGTGCTTCAGGCTGGCAAGCAGACCAATGCGGCACCAGCGGGCTCCAGCGGGGACGCTGGCTCTCCGGGGGCCGTCCGCTCGCCGGACCGCCGACGCCGCTGCCTGCTCAAAAGCTGTGCTCCCAAGGCCCCCGACCCTTTCCCAGGGGCCGCTCTTTCGTCCCGGGTCGTTCTGCTGGATACTCCAGATTTCGTAGTAAAGGGAGGGGGGTCTCATTTCGGGGGGGGGTCTCTTCCAGGCTATCTTGGAGGGCCTGGGGGGTTCTGGGGACGATGTTTTGGAGGGCTCTCCCACGGGGGGGGGTCTGAAATGGCTTGTTTGTCTTGGAGGGTCCAGACCCCCTCCCTTTTATTTCGAAATCTGGAGTAGCCGCGCCCCCAGAAGAGACCGCAGCTGGGCTGCGGTCGGTTCCCCTGGATGGCCCCAAAAGGGGGCCCAGCTGAAAGGGGGTGGTGCAACAGATGTGGGGCAATAGTATTGCGAGTGCATTGCGCCAGGCCAGAGAATTGTACTGCATTGTATGGCAGCGAATGTTTTGCACGCGAAAATCCAGCCATGCACTTGCGCCCCAGAATGTGTTGCACACCCCAGATCTGTTGCAACCCCAGAAACCTATTGCACCTAATCTAGTGCAGCACCCCCCTTTTGCTGACCCCCTTGTGGGTTGACCAGAGTTCTGCTGGATGGCCCCAGACATCCGACCTCGCGAGCCTCTCGCCCCCGTGCGCCCCCGAGCGCTCCCGACCCCGCCCACGCGCAGGGCTGGTGCCGGACGGAGCCCACAGGGACCACGGCCACCTTGAGCCCGAGCTCTTCGGCGAGCGCGCTCCGCTACTCGCAAAGTAACTGCTCGCAGATGGCCTGGATCCGCCGAGGGGGATCTACGACAGATGGCATCGAAGCAGACACGTGTTCTTGTTCCGGACGTTTGCGAGTGGGCACTCTGCGAGTCGTGAAACGCGCTCGGTGAACCACGGCCACCCTGAGCCCGAGATCTGCAGCGCACTCGCCAGGGTCGGGCAGCTCGCCTCGCCCGAGGCCGGGGCCTGTGAGAGGGTCTCTCCGGCCACGCGCAAGAGCGACCCTGGGCAAGAGTGGCCTCTGGAGAGCGCGGCGTTTATGGGGGAGCCGCGGGGGGGGGCCCAACACACCAGCGCGCAAGACGCCGATGCCGCCTCGCGTTCGGCGATCGGTCGGGGACCCCCATCTTCATGATGATGATGATGATGATGACGATGATGATGACGATGATGACGATGATGATGATGATGATGATGATGATGATGATGATGATGATGATGATGATGATGATGATGATGATGATGATTATGATTATGATTATGATGATGATGATGATGATGATGATGATGATGATGATGATGATGATGATGATGATGATGATGATGATGATGATGATGATGATGATGATGATGAGAAGGAGGAGGAGGACGAGGAGGATACTGACGCTGATGCTGACACTGATGCTGACGGATGAGGATGAGGATGAGGATGAGGATGCTGACGCTGATGACGACGACTGACGAGGAGGAGGGGGAGGAGGAGGAGGAGGAGGAGGAGGAGGAGGAGAAAGAGGAGGAGGAGGAGGAGGCCCGCGCCAAAGGTCACTCCGGTGAAGGGTCGCTTCTGTGTGACCGCAGGCCCCCGGTACTAAAGGAGCGCCTGGGAGCGCACCGGCGCGAGAAAAGGCCTCCGGGACACTGTCCGACAGGCCCAGACATCCGATGCCCTGAGTTTAAATCGGGCCTGTCCTCTACAGGGGGGAATATTCAAGAATAGTCAAAAAATAGTCTGGGGACGATTTTACTATTATTTTTCGATTGACTATCTGGGGGCAGTTTCGGGGTATTCTAAAATTTTGCCCAAAGTCCGCCCGTAGGAGGACATTCCCGACCTAACCGGGCCCCGGAGGTCCCTGGAGCCTCTGGACCGTCGCATCCGGGCGTCCTGGTCGCTTCCGATGTCGCTGGTACCTTGACCCTGCTACCTAGAGGAAACAGAACTATGCACATACACCGATTCTGGCCAGGCCCACCCTGAGCCCAGGCTCGGTGCATACGCCCTCCTACCTTGGCTAGGAAGGTATATGCACCGATCCTGGGTCAAGAATGGGCCTTGCCAGGATCGGTGCATGTGCATAGTTCCCTTCGCCCGAGCTACCGCCCTGCTCTGCGAGACCGCACGTCCTATTCCTGCCGCCGTAGGCCAGGGTCTCCGCCCCCACCCCTCCCGGGGGCCGACCCTTCCAGGGCCCGGCGAGGGCCCACGGAGGCCCGAAACGGAGAAGAACCTCCGCATGGAGCCTCTCCGAGATCCGACGCTCCGAGAAAAAAAAAAAAAAAAAAAAAAAACTGCAGCATCGCGCGAGAGGCGCCACGACCGGAGCTCTGGACCCCCTATCCCCTCTTCCGGCGCCCCCCGTCTCGAGCCGCAGCGACCTGTGAGGGCCCCGAGGGGCCCGAGGGGCTGGACGAGAGGGCGCCCGTGGCGAGAGGAGCGCTGGCAGCCCGGGGGCGCATAGGGGCCCGGCCTGGGCACGCGGCGCGCGAGCCCGGCGTCCGCCGCGTGCACCCGCGGGGGCGTGGCCGGGCCGGCGTAGGCGCCGCAGCTGGGGAGGCCCGCGGGGCCCGCGTCGGCGCCGAGGAGGCCCCGGGAGGCCCCCAGCGGGAGCTCGGGCGCCCGCCCGGGGGCGCGGCGCTCGAGCTCGTCGGCCGCGACG